GAGGAAGAAAATCAAAGTCAAATGCCCATAAAGACAAAATAAAGTCGAAAAGGTTAAGTCTCACATGACTGACCCTTATGGCAAGGTTTGGAAAAGCCAAAGGTTTCTCCGGGACAAGAAATGAAATCGGTCTTCAGGGAACAACCAGTTACAATTGAAAGTATCATCAAAGAAGACGGGTCGAGCTCGAGTGACTAAAACAATCAAGGCCACAAAATCAACCACCATTTCAAACTAACAATCATTCTTTGTTTGAAAAATAGAAAACATGTACAATCCAAAAGCACCTTGCAAAAAGCAGGTGCAACCAAAAAGATACCGCGCGGAGACTAAAATAGCTCTGCAATAGCAACAACCCCAAAAAGGGAAGTTTTTCCAAGTTCTATCCCGTATTTTACTCATTCTCTTAAAATAAAAAAATAAAAAAATAAAAAGAATGAAGAGAAACAAAAGTTCAGATCATGGTAGTATATGATCTCCAATCCCTAGCTGCATTTTGCAACATAGAGTCTCCACTCCCTAGTTGATGATTTTAGACATAGGGTCTCCACTCCCCAGTCTTTTTTCCAACATAGGGTCTGCACTCCCCAGTTGAAGTTATTTCAGATATAGAGTCTCCACTCCCTAGTTGATGATTTTAGACATAGGGTCTCCACTCCCCAGTCTTTTTTCCAACATAGGGTCTGCACTCCCCAGTTGAAGTTATTTCAGATATAGAGTCTCCACTCCCTAGTTTTCTCTCCAACATAGGGTCTGCACTCCCCAGTTGAAGTTATTTCAGATATAGAGTCTCCACTCCCTAGTTTTCTCTCCAACATAGGGTCTCCACTCCCTAGTTGAAGTTATTTTAGACATAGGGTCTATACTCCCTAGTTGATTTTATTTTAGAAATAGGGTCTCCACTCCCTAGTCGTTTTTCCAACATAGGGTCTTCACTCCCTAGTTGATGCTATTTTAGACATAGGATCTCTACTCCCTAGTCGCTTTTCCAACATAGAGTCTCCACTCCCTAGTTGAAGTTTATTTTAGACATAGGGTCCCACTCGCTAGTCTGCTTTTCCAACATATGGTCTCCACTCCCTAGTTGACTTTATTTTCAGACATAGGGTCTCCACTCCCTAGTCTTTTTTCCAACATAGGGTCTCCACTCCCTAGTCTTTTTTCCAACATAGGGTCTCCACTCCCTAGTTGATGATTTTTAGATATAGGGTCTCCAATCCCTAGTCTCTTTTCTAACATAGGGTCTCCATTCCCTAGTTGATGTTCTTTTTAGACATAGGGTCTCCACTCCCTAGTCGTTTTTCCAACATAAAATCTTCATTCTCTAGTTAATGTTTAAGACATAGGGTGTCCCGTCGCTTTTCCAACATAGGGTCTCCACTCTCTAGTTGATTTTTATTTTAGATATAGGGTCTTCACTCCCTAGTCTCTTTTCCAACATAGGATCTCCACTCCCTAGTTGATATTTATCTTAGACATAGGGTCTCCACTCCCTAGTTGATATTTATCTTAGACATAGGGTCTCCACTCCCTAGTCGTTTTTCTAACATAGGGTCTCCATTCCCTAGTTGATTTTATTTTAGACATAGGGTCTTCACTCCCTAGTCGATTTTCCAACATAGGGTCTCCACTCCCTAGTTGATTTTGTTTTAGACATAGAGTTTCCACTCCCTAGTCGCTTTTCCAACATAGGGTCTCCACTCCCTAGTTGATTTAATTTTAGGCATAGGGTCTCTATTCCCTAGTCTCTATTTTCCCAGGGTACACCAATCCCGACCTTTTTATTTTTGCTTTCAATAATGAAATAGTATAGAGTTTTTATTGCAAATAACTTACGAAATTTTCCTACTAAAAATTGGGGCAGAAAAATTTCGTCGTTCGTTTGTTTTGTTGTCTGAGCAAGTTATACCTCGAGGCACAGGGTTTGATATGACCAAAAGAAGACGTCTCAATCCAAAATAAAGAAAAGAAGTGAATCCAAAATGCAGAAGCGAAGAAAAGATATGGACTGCTCAAGACATGACTGAAGTCACAAGCTTTGCATGTCCCGCCTTAATCCGAAAAGCCGAAGAAGAATAAACTAGCACCTACAACTAGCAAGCATCAAGGCTCAGATCATAATTTGCGTGAAGAACCAGCCAAGATTTAAGATCAAGCTTCAGAAGACTCATAGATAGGAATCTTGTAACTCGTAGCTGATAGGCTTAGTTACACTTTTTCAGTTTAGTTTTGATGTAATAAGGAACTCAACAAGTAGTAACAGCAGCAACAGTAGTGAAATCACAGCTTCTCGGTAGTCCCAGCTACCGAAACTTTCAGAACTACACTGACCTGATTCCTTTATAGCCAAGGATATATAGGCAACCTCCGAAGCAAGGTTCAGTCAAACTTATTTTTAAAATGCTTCCCATGGAATGTCCAGCGAGAAAAAGTTGCTAGTAATTGCTCACTTTATCTTTACCCGAAAACTCTTCATGTTCTCGAGCAAAGAGGGGTAGCTGTGAGCACGTAATTTTTGCCCTACAAGAAACATTCCTAAAAAATCCATAAAAATAGATTTTTCTTATTTGTTTTTGAATTTATGGGGTTTTAGGATTTTCTTTTAAATTGATTGTTTGCATTTAGCTGCATTTTCATGCATATTTTAAAATCATAAAAATTTGTCACATTTAACTCCATGTCATTTTAGGTTTAATTGCATTTTAGTTACTAGAATTAGTACATAAAAATCACAAAAAAAAATACATTGGTCATTTTTTGGGATTAGTTAGTTAGTTATTTAGTTTGATTTATATTTTTAATTAGGGATAACATTAGTAAGTAGAGGAATTGGTTAATTGAGCAAAAATAGGTTTTAATTTAGGATTTGCGGGCATGTTTAAGTTTCAAATCAAAGGAAAGAAGGGAGGATTTGTTTAGTCTTCAGCAAATTGGGCCAAAGACATGATCCAGCGGCCCAAGTGCCCAAAAACTATCCCCCCCCCCCNNCCAGCCTAGACCCTTGCAAAACCGGTCCACCCTTCTTTTTACGCCAAACGACCCCATTTTTTCCTTGTTCAATCTCAGACGTTGATCTAATGTGATTCAACGTCTCGCAACTGAACTTCCCATTACTATAAAGATGTTGGAACCCTCCTCCCAAAACCCTATAGAATAATCTCAGAACTCTGTCACCTCTCTCTTTCACCTCCGTAATTTGTCGATGTTGGAAATCGCTCCAAGGAGGCGGCATCACTCCAAACACCCTCAAAATTTCATCAAATAACCCCCACTTTCCCCTCTCTCCAAATCCTTCGATTTCTCCGTTCAAAACCCTCTGGTTGTTGACGAATTTCAGATCCACGAATCTAAAGCCTAGCTGCCCAAAAATCATCTCTGATGGCACCACTCCAAACCCCCTCAAATTCACACCCTATACTCCTCTCTTCATCCTCAACACAAACCTACTTCCAATTTTCCCAATACCCCTACCAAACTGCTCCAATTTCGGATCCAAAATTGAACCCTAGCCTCTTTCCCCTTTCAAATACTCGACCAATTTCACCCTATTTACAGTTGAAATTCACATCAGTTGAAATCTCTTGATAAGAGCTATCCACTGATATAAGATTCACGCCCTATCTTGGAGATTATATTTTGGTCGGAGCTGTGTTTGTTCGTCGGAGTTCTATGTTCGCTTTCTCTTAAAGATAAATCTCCGGTGGCACCACTCCAAACCCCCCTCAAATTCACATCCTATACTCCTCTCTCCATCCTCAACACAAACCTACTTCCAACTTCCCCAATACCCCCACCAAACTGCTCCATTTCGGATCCAAAATTGAACCCTAGCCTCTTGCCCCTTTTCAAATACTCGACCACTTTCACCCTATTTACAATTGAAATTAAAATCAGTTGAAATCTCTTGATAAGAGATATCCACTGATGTAAGATTCACACCGTATCTTAGAGATAACATTTTGGTCGGAGCTGTGTTTGTTCGTTAGATTTTCGTCGGAGTTCTATGTTCGCTTTCTCTTAAAGATTAATCTTCGGTGGAACCACTCCAAACCCCATCAAATTTGCACCCTATACTCCTCTATCCATCTTTAACACAAACCTACTTCCAATTTCCCTAATACCCTCACCAAACTGCTCCAATTTCGGATCCAAAATTGAACCCTAGCCTCTTGCCCCTTTTCAAATACTCGACCAATTTCACCCTATTTGCGGTTGAAATTCACATTAGTTGAAATCTCTTGATAAGAGCTATCCACTGATGTAAGATTCACACTGTATATTGGAGATTATATTTTGGTCGGAGCCGTATTTGTTCGTCTGATTTTCGTCGGAGTAAATGTTTGCTTTATCTTAAAGATTAATAGGTAATTTATTTCCTTTCTTTCTCACTCATTCTGATCAATTCTCCTTTCTCTTAGTTTCTCACTGCATGCCTAGGTTAATAGCTGATCGCCTAAAAATATTTTAGCTTTCTAAATAATTGTTTGACTCAGTCCTACTTGAATTTTAGTTGATTGTTAATAAGGTTTTGGTTGAAATTACGTATATGCTTAATTGATAGGTTAGCTAGTTGCTATTTTTGATAGCTTAATTTTAATTTAGATTAATTAGTGTTTGTTTAGTAGTCGTTGGTTCTGCTTATTGAAAGAAGACAACAGAGTTAGGGTAGAAGTCACTAATTGGTATTAACTGAAACATAAGGGGGCTAAAGGGCATTGAAAATAAGGAATCATTTTCAATTGTTTGAGGAAGTCTCTACAAGTGACCAAAGTACAATAAAAAACAAAGATTATTTCAAATTTTGGGGTTAAAAGTGTTAATTTTAGAAGATAAAAGAGTTGAAAATTTTGAGTAAATATCTGAATCGACAGCTATCCAACAGCTGTCCAATTCAGTTTTAAAAGATGTCCTTTCTCCTTATTTTTAGGGACTGCATTCCCTAGAATTATTTCCTCACCTTTTCCTATATAAGGTCTAACATTCTTTCACTCACACACAAGCTAATTCTCTGCAAGATACACAAAAAGCACTCACACATATAGGCTGATTTTCCCTTCACGTTGAAAGAAAAGCAGTCTGAAATTTTACTTCGCAAATTCTTCAAATCAAAAAAAGAGGAACAAGAGTCAGTTTGGCTTCAAGTTCTCAAAGACACACAAAAAGCACTCACGCATATCGGCTGATTTTCCGTTCACGTTGAAAGAAAAGCAGTCTGAAATTTTACTTTACAAATTCTTCAAAGCAAAAAAAGAGGAACAAGAGTCAGTTTGGCTTCAGGTTCTCACTTGTTTTTTTTGGGTTTTCCTTTGGTTGAGCTGCTGGATTTTTGCTCTTGATTTGAAGCTATTACCTTGCTGATATTCCTGCTGATTCAGAAACTTATTTTCTGGTTTTCTATTATTTTTTTGACAATTAGGTACACTCCTATGATTTTGTACAACTCTGATCTTTAGCATAAACAAAGTTTTCTGATTTAATATGGAGTTATGACTGTTTGTTGCTCTTACATGATCTTATGTCTGTTTGTAAGTTGATTAGTCAATACTCGAACTTATCTCCTTGACATAGTCTTTGTTTTAGATAAAAATGCTGGTAATATTAACTAGAGTATGATTGTTAGTTAAGTTTGGTTTCCTGAAGCATAAGCATGTCTTATTGCATTGGTAGAGCTATTACATTGCTTAATATTACTTGCTAAAAGTGAAATTCGTGTGTTCAGAATCATTTAGCCTATGAGAACATTTGTTGTTTGTGTAAAGGTGAGAAGCATCACATTGCAGTCAAAAGTATTTGGGAAGTTCAAATTATATGTGATTCATCTGTTAAAGCCCTGGATGTTTGAGATTGAGTTGTCTTATTCCAAAAGACATGAGAAGAAGCAGTTTAGTTTGGTAATACCTAAATCTAGTATGTTTATGGATGGGTGATTATTGTAAACTTAGAATTTGCAAAAATCTTGATGTAATAGGTTAAGTCTATTGTTTTATTTTGTAAAAATTGAGCAGATATGGTTAAGAAGCATTGGATTCCAAACTTCAGAACTAGAAAATTTAATTGTCGCATCTGCTTGTAGGTAATAAGCATTTCCTTGAACATTTTAGCATGTTGTATTAAATTACGGGCCAAAACTGAATTATAATGTCACTAATGTTGATTCTCTGAAAAGTAGACTTTGAAAACTGTCTTCTTACATGTATTGGACCTGGTAATGCTCAGGCATGCATTTGTGTTATTCTACTATGTTGGGCTAGGGAATTATGTCCTTGTTAATTTGGGGTTCAGAAATTCTAAATATCTTCGTGTGATCATTTTGTAACAAATAAACAACATGAACTATGAATTCAATCATGTAGCCTATCGTATCTTTATGAATGTAATCAAATTATTCATGTGTGCTTGGGTTATGGACATATAGATTTGGTATTTTGTTGGGTATAACGTAGAATGCTGAATTGGGCTTAACCAACCCATGTCACTGGCCAAACTGTGGCCTCTAAAGATGTCAAAAAGGCCAAACATTTCAGGAAAAGCTAAGAGGTCTTGGGCCTCATTTTTAACTTATCCTTGTTTGCACGCTGACATGTTGGAGGTCCACCATGAGTGTTCAATTAAGATCTAGCCCATAATGTTACTCCCTTTCGTTTGCCCAAAAGCATTGTTCCTCCCAAATGTTTAATAGTCAATTTTCTAAAGAATTACACACTTGTTAAACCTCCATCTACCCGTTATCTTCAACACAAAGTATTTCCAGATCTTTTAACATTCTAAATAATCCCAAATCTAGTTTTTAATCATGAATAACGAATGAACATCCTAGTTTGCTTTAGGCACGTTTAAATAAATCATCGTGGCTATGGGTACGGTTCCCGTGGCATGGTCACGATACATAATTTCCAATTCGAGTGTGTGCTTCACGTGACTCGACCATAACTTCAAATAATAATAATAAACATGTTGTAAATTGTGGGTGCATTTCACATGGCGCGGTTTGAAATGTGTACCAAAATGACAAGTGTACGGTATCGTAACTTGTTCAAGAAATAATTCCACAAATACTAAAAGGCAATTAAATTAATTAAAAGCGGCTAAAAGTTAAAGATACAGAATAGGTTTAAATGTATTAAATCAGATAATCAGGCCATTTATTGATAGTTGAGCGATCGTGCTAAAATCGTGGACCCCGAGAATGCCTAACACCTTTTTCCAAGTTAACAGAATTCCTTGCCCGATCTTCTATGTTCGCGGACCAAAAACAGAGTTAAATTTCCTCGATTTGGAATTTAAAATAAATTGGTGACTTGGAAAACTAAAATATCCCTAGTGGCAACTCTGAATTAAATAATCTCATTTCGATTAATGTCACTTTAGTTGGAAAAACTTCCTATCTCTCAGGAAAAAGGAGGTGTGACATCCAGAAAGATGGTTCAATTCGATCAGGAGTGTGAGAGTAAGCAGTGAAGGTGTATCTATACAGAAAGAATCCATTTGATCAAGAGAGTGTAGTAGTAGTTGTAAAGGTCTATCATAATATTATGGACCCGGCCACTTACATGCACTTCCCAAAATAAGAACATGACTCGTGATAATTTTGCCAAGTCGCCTTTTTATTTTCTTATCCTCAACACCGTTGTTTCGCCGCGTATTTGTTACACATTCAGCCCTCTGCTGAAAGCGAGAGAACATTTACATAAGCGAAGAAAAAAACCAATTCCCTTTCTAGTATTTGGTTCATATAAACTCCTGAAAATTCCTATGGTTGTGGCTGTACAGAAACCCAATGTGTACATTTACGAATGGGGATTGGGAATGCGCAGAAGGACAGATCATTTGATAGTTGGAGGAAGCAGGTTATTCTTGGGAAGAAATAAAAATTGCGGATTCTGTTTGAGATTGATGAGGAATACGAATTACTACACACTATTTGTAGCAGCTGCAACAAGCAAAGAGGATGGGGGCGAGGAATTTGTGAAGATGATGAGAGAAGCTCAGCCATACTTTGTTGCACATAGAGGAAGCATATTCGTCCTCCTCCTTTCTGCAGAGATCATTGATAGCACCTTCTTGTCCTCCATTCTTGAGGTCCTCTGTCTTTTGTCTCTTATTATCATTTTGTGGAGAAAATTATTGTAGATTTACTCGTTTCTTTTTATGCAACTTAAATTAAATACATTTATGTTGTGGGAGTTGATCTCCTGTTTAGCTTGATTGATTATTGCATCAAATAGAGTAATTAACTTTGGAATTAATCCTAATTTAAGACATAAAATTCCTCTAAATTTGGTATGATTTGCTATTTACACATTTAAACTATAGTGTATTTTGTATTATACTCCTTTAACTTTTATTTTTGTGGTGTCTATTACCCCTCTATAGTGTGCACGGAGAGTCTATCTCCTTGTTAACACGTGGAAGCAAAACAAGGGCAAAAGAACTAGCACATGGTTTTTTTTCCCAACAATCACACAAAACTATATACTATAATTTTTGTTCTAACTATATACTTTTTTTTAAAAATTTCTCTGGAGCCTAAAGCAAATAGATAACTTTAACTAAGATTATCCTTTACAAGATCTAAAATAAAAAATAGACCAACTTGTTACATAAATGATTAAATTCTGAAAAATGTGCTAGTCAAACCTCTTACTACATCAATAAATTGCTTAGGACCGGACGAAGCGAGTCGTCAGTTTACCAGTTGTCGTACCGGTTCAAGTCCGTTCCCACTCTTCCCTTCAAAATCACTTTTCCTACAAATTCTTCAATCCACCAACCACTCACGCCATTCTAACAACCCCGTTCAGCAGGCAGCCGCCATAGCCCTCCGCCGCCAAAGCCCACTTCAGTATTATCGGACTTTGGCTTGCATTTGCTTGAGAAACCATGGCTGTTTTGCCTCCAATTCCCATAAATCAATGCCAGCTAAAGATTTTGTGTGGCACCACTATTTGGAATCCTCATGTTCCAAATGGTTTCCAAGGGGGATTAAATGGTTCTAATTCGCTAAAGATTTTACCTTTTCATGGGAAAAGATCGTTGGGTAGGTCAATAAGGTGCGAGGTTTTGGGGGAAACAGACGATGTGGGTTTTGACGTGAGTAGTGCCATTAAAGACGATCTATTTGTTGGGTTTTTCAGAGAAGCGTGGCCGTATTTCCTTGCTCATCGAGGAAGTACCTTTGTTGTTTTAATCTCAGCAGAAATTGTTGATAGCCCTCATTTGGATCACCTTCTCATGGCATGTTTCTTCCCATTTTAACTTCACCTTTTCATTTAGCTTTTATTGTATTCCTTTCTTTTTTCTTGTTTACATAATATTTTTGTCAAATTATTGCAGGACATCTCCCTCCTTCATGGTCTGGGAATCAAGTTTGTTCTTGTACCAGGAACTCATGTTCAGATTGACCGGCTTCTCGCTGAAAGGGGTGAGCAAAATTCTTATAATGCTACTCTCTTGTTTCTTCTTGTTCATTTTGATATTTCTTGTTTATCATCGCTGGCTGGGTTTTTCTCTATTTATTGATACTGATAGCAGATTTTGTTGTTACACTTCGAAACAAATCTGTTGTTCCTCATGCTGCTAACAGTTTTAGCATCATTTGATAAGTTGGATATCAGAGCTTATGATTTATAAACTGAAGGATCTATTTTGTTAAGACTTTTAGTTTTTTTTCTCTAATTGTCTCAGATTGATTTTCTTTTTTTTGAAGATTCTAATAAAGTATGTGTTTACTAGGAAAAGTGGGGCCAGTTTTTTATGCACTTATGTTTCTATTTAAGACAATTATGTATGCATAATTTGTATTTCAGAATAACCAAAAGTTTAAATCTAGTGCTTTAATATTAAAGGCTTCTACTTCTATTTGTGATTACTATAACTTTTTTTTTCCTTTTCTTTTGTTTTAGCTACTGATGTCCTGTATCTTCTTACAAGAATATTCTAATAAGCAAGTGATTTTGTTACTTCCTTTTAACAGGAAGTGAGCCCAAGTACGTAGGCCGCTACAGAATTACAGATCCTGATTCACTCAATGCGGCTATGGATTCATCTGGAAGAATTCGTCTTATGATAGAGGCAAAGTTGTCTCCTGGCCCTTCATTGACTGGTGTCCGCCGGCACGGAGAAAATAGTCGCTGGCATGATAGTGTCGGTGTTGCCAGTGGTAATTTTCTAGCAGCAAAGGTGCAAATATGACCCTCACTGCCTGTTCTTCTTTACATTTTTGCATTCTCTCCGAAATCTACACTAAGTACCACCTAGTCACTTTACTAGATGTATCAATCATGTTTTGGGGTTTAAGTTTTGTTGTATGGCTGCCACTGCAATGGTGATTTTCATTTCATATTTGCTGGCAGAAAAGAGGAGTTGTGGAAGGAATCGAATATGCTTCAACAGGTGAAGTAAAGAAGGTAGATGTTTCTCGAATTCGTGAGAGGCTTGATCAGGATTGCATTGTGCTATTAAGCAATCTTGCTTATTCCAGCTCTGGAGAAGTATTAAACTGCAAGTATGCTATATGACTTTTGATTGGTATCTTTGTTGTTTTTTGCATAAACTGGTATTTCATCGTGTTTTACTTAATTTGTTGCCGGCGAATGATAAATGCAGTTCAGGCAGCTAGATACTAAAGCTTAGTGATATACTTCCAGCATCTCTTTCAATCAAACTCGTATTTGACATGTTTGTGCTACTCTGACTTATGTAAAATCACTTTCTTACTGTTTCACTGTTTGCGAGTATCCGAGGGACTTTGTGGAACTCCTTCACTTGTAAGTTGCAAGGGTTAAAGTTCGATATTAACAATCTCTGATGATCGATGTACATTTAGATACAATTAAAGAAATCCAGCAAGTTAACGAGGAAGTACACATTATCCTTCCGTACGAGCTAGTAGTCTTTTCCTATTCATGAACATTTATACGAAAATTAAACTTTCATCTGTTGGAATGTTGGCATTGATGGTGTTCATTTTTGAAGGATAACTCAGTTGATGACTTTAACATACTACAGAATACACCTGATAAGAGAAAAGAAACATACTACAGAATGCTTGCATGAAGCCGGATAAACTCATCTGGACTGTGGTCAGATGTTACTTCAACTCATACTGCACTTTGATCTTGTATAGAGATTAGATGATTCTTTATGCCATTGGGAGATTGCTTAGGTTGACATGAATTGTAGACTTTTAAGTCTAAATTTACGTTTCATGCAATTGCACTTTCTCTTTCCTTTTTTGTTTTGCTGTGAGTTGTTAAGAGTGATGATATGCTCTATTCCAAATTGAAGCACATACGAAGTTGCGACAGCTTGTGCCTTGGCTCTAGGAGCAGAAAAACTAATTTGTATCATAGACGGCCCAATTCTTGATGAGTCTGGCCGTCTTATCAGCTTCTTAACTCTTGAAGATGCTGATATGTTGGTCCGCAAAAGAGCTGAGCAAAGTGAGACTGCTGCTAATTACGTAAAAGCTGTTAGTCAGGAGGACTTCAATCATTTTGGTTACAATGATTCCAATGGATCACTCCTTTCCCAAAATGGCAATGATTATAGCCGAAGATACAATCCTACATTTCAAAATGGCATTGGTTTTGACAGTGGAAACGGGCTTTGGTCTAGTGAACAAGGTTTTGCAATTGGAGGACAAGAGAAACTAAGTAGATCAAATGGTTATCTCTCAGAGTTAGCTGCTGCTGCTTTTGTTTGCCGAGTAATTTCCTGAAATCACTATGTTTACAGTAGGGTAGTAGTCGTTAAGTTATCTACCCATGCTTGCTTTTCCTAATTAAAAACTTTTACTGAGGAATCTAAAAGATACTTCAGAAGATTACACATTCTCTTGTAAACTTACATCTCTTTGATATTAAATTTATTATGAAAAACTTTTGCAGTATAAATATGTGCATTTCATGAATAGACAACTCTTTATTTTTTCACATCTACTGTTTGACATTGTGCAGTTCATATTATATATCCACCTTCAAGGTGGTCTGCCATCTCTCTTGCTTTAAGTGAGGAAATCTTTATGTCTCAAGAATACTGATTCTTAGCTTAATAGCATGATATCTGTTTCTTCTTGAAACTTATTCAAATAATATATTTCCTTTTCCATCAGGGAGGTGTTCAAAGAGTGCACCTGTTGGATGGCACTATTGGTGGAGTTTTACTGAAGGAATTGTTCCAAAGAGATGGAGTTGGGACAATGGTTGCTAGGTATGCCACATTCTGCAGAAATATTTAATTGTGATGATTAAAGTTTGTGTTAATTTTCAATTGCCAACTATGGATCATTTCCTGAATAAGCTGATCAGATAGACACCTGGATATGTCAGATCACTTGTGTCAGACTAAGCTTCCTTTACTTTCTTGCTTAAAATACGAGGGTTCAAAGCATATATCAGGAATGTCTAAAAACCACTGTTTTATTTGGTCTAATTTCTCAATCAGAAAAAAATCTCATGTAATATCTGATAACCTAATATAAAGTATGGACGTTAGAAGTCATCAACGAATAGATTCATGTTTAACCGGCTATGTATATTGGGTCTAATTAAGCATCCTATACTTAAAGTGCTTAAACGCCATGGGTTGGAAGCTTGGAAGGAATATATAATTATTGTGCTATTGTCCAATCCAGTCTGGACACTTTTCAGAACAATCCGTGCAACTTAAAGATCCTATCACCAGATATACCCTTGTACGTATATTAGAAGTCATAATGAATAGGTTCAGAAGTTAACAGAATGTTTGACCAGCTATATATTTTGCCAAAATAAGCTATGACCTACTTTTACTTTGGATCTGCACTATATTTAGAATGGCACGACTAGTGAGAACCTGGATGTTATTATGATTTGATTATCCGCTACCTTCCAAAAATTTCCATAATACTTCTTATGACAGAAGTTCATGATGCAAAATGAGGACCAGCTCACCCAATGATTAGAATGAACATTTATTCTGTTGTCGGATCATTATCTTAATCTTTGGATGTACCTAGGTTATGTTTGTGTTTATCCATTCAGCTAACACGTGAATCTATGCCTCAGCGATCTTTATGAAGGAGCACGGATGGCCAAGGTGTCGGATATTCCTGGAATAAAGCAGTTATTACAGCCGCTAGAAGAGTCTGGAACATTGATCAGAAGGACTGAGGAAGAGGTTACACCTGATGCTTGTCATTAGTCAAGACTTATCTAGTCACCTTCTGTTTTATCTTTGTTGGATTATGCTTTTCTTTTACCCTAATTTTCATTGTTTAACTTGTTCTAGCTAGTGGAAGCGTTGCATTCATTCATTGTTGTGGAGAGAGAGGGACACATTATAGCTTGTGCAGCGCTCTTTCCTTACTTTGAAGAAAAATGTGGTGAGGTTGCTGCCATTGCTGTTTCTCCTGATTGTCGTGGCCAAGGACAGGGAGACAAGTTACTTGGTATGATGACTCTTTTCTCGTAATAGAACAATTTATTCGTCCATATTAAAGGCATATGAGCAGCTTTGAGGACTTTTTAGCTATTTTATTTAATCCTTATTGAAGTTGCAAGTACATTAGCGAGAGACTAATCTAAGAGTTTTTATATATTTCCTTAAGAGCCTAAAAAATACTTGGATAAGCCTGTAATAAAAGGGAAGTAACTTTAAGTGGGTATCTTGGATAAATGTATCAAGAGACTGGTGAACAAGTTTAAACATTTTCAATGTTCCATATTATCGAGCACATAGGAACATGTCCCGAAGATGGCCGGCTTGTTCCATTACGGAATGAACGTATAATCATGGAATGGGCTGGATCATTGGATTATAAGTTAATAAGTAATAACCTTAACTCATCCATTTTGTGAAAATTGGTAAATTTTATTCATACCAGAGTTAATGGTACATGAGTTTTACAACCTATCCTTACTGATAAAAAGGGCACCCCGGTGCACTAAGCTCCCGCTATGCGCGAGGTCCGGGAAAGGGTCGGACCACAAGGGTCTCTATTGTATGCAGCCTTACCCTGCATTTCTGCAAGAGGTTGTTTCCACGGCTTGAACCCGTGACCTCCTGGTCACATGGCAACAACTTTACCATGGATAGGTTCGTCATGAATGTTGGGATTCCATATCATGCACAGAGACATTGCTTACATCACCCTATCGTAACAAATCCTTTTCAAAATAAATCTATCATTTGTAAATTCTGTTTTATTATTGAAAAAGTAATCATTTATTAATGAAGGGTATAGAAACACCCGTATAAGAGAAGTGTACCAAAAAGTATTTGTAAATTCTTTTTAACCTTACTGTCTATGATCCCCCCCCCCNCCATGCGGTGTAAATGGACAAATTGATTAGGCCAAGTTATTTCATATGTATAGAAATATCATTACGTGATTCTAAGGTAGTGTCTCGAATGAAGTTTTATCATAACATTCCTCTTAGAACTGCTATGGGATTTGATTCAATTATGGAATCATGAATAGCATTTGGTCCTGCTGATGTATATATATACTATAATCTGTATTTTTCTTCTGGGAAATCCTGAGCAAGATAAGAATATCAAGTTTCTTGTTACCAATAATGTAATACCCCCTTTTAATAATAAAACATATGATGTCGGGCCTCAACAACCTATTTTAAAGGTCACAAGTGGATGAATCAGAATCTTGAGAACGTCTTTCATGTGTCTGTCATGACCTTCTGTCCTTCCAGGAATGACTATTCTTTCCCCAGATCTAATATCTTGATTTTTGTTAATCTTAAAAATTGGTCCAAATTTAGAAGAAGAAAACAAGTAAATGATTAAACATCCAATGCTAAGACAGGCACTTGAACATGGTAACTGTTTGACTTTTAGTAATACATAAAAGCGACATCCATATGTCATATATACGTACTTATGTCATTATATCCGCTGAGAAACAGGTTATAAAAGATATGCCATTTATTGAGAAGTAATTATTTTATATTCTCCGTCTCCCTTGGACTAGGCAAAGTGTCCATATTTAAAAGTATTTTCATACTTATATCTACCAAGAGACAATCCTGTCCTTGAACTTTTGCTTATATTTGTGAGCTTGTTACCATATCTACCAATAACTTTGTCTTCCAATATTTTGCAGATTACATTGAGAAGAAGGCGTCTTCCCTTGGATTGCAAATGCTATTCCTACTAACAACTCGCACAGCTGATTGGTACTCTCTTTTCACCTTTCTACCTTTTATTCCTATGACATTCACTAGCTTACCAATAGTGTCAGAGATTCTACTTCCAATTGGGCTAGTGAACATAGTTTGTCCAAGTGGAGGTTCGAACCGACTAAACTAATTGGCAATGGCCCAAGCACAGCTCAGAGTAATGTATTAAAACAAAGTTGTGATATTTAAGCTGAATTTGAATATTATTGAGTATTGACATCTCAACAAGAAGAAAAATAGATTCAAACACCATCACAAGGTATTTTGATAAGGCAGACATACGTCAAAAAGAACAAAAACGATGTTTCTATTGCTTTTGACTTGCTACACATTATTGTTTGGGCTTGCTCTACCATTACTGATGTAGGATGCATGGACACTTTAAACAGGGACATATGTGTTAGGCGCCTATAAACTACTTGAGATTTTTGATGCATTTACAGCATATCTCCTATATTCTCGTTCTTCTTTTTCTCATAAATAAAAACGTAAACTTGGTAGGCTATTTCATGGATTCTTGTTGAGTCCTTGTAAAGGTGTGCTTAAAACGTCTCTTTCAGACATTAGTTGTTTATTATTCATTTTGTGAGAAGAAAAAAGTTCTACGTTTCTTAGATGAAAAAGAAATACAAACTACAGAATAGCTCATTGTTTAAATTAGAGCACAGAATGTTGTTAAAACCTGGCCGCAACGTCCAATCTACTAGTTAAACATGAACGCTTGATTGATACAAAATATGAACGAAAGTCAGACAAAGAGAAAGAGAAGAGAACTAGCTGTAATTTGATTTGCTTTGAACGCTTAAAAAAGTCAACAGGCATTTAAGGGTTCTTGAACTCAGAGAGCTTACTGGTCATGATAATTTGTATGTTATACAATTTCATATTCCGGAGATTACTCCCAGCATATGCTATTGACCTACTATTATGTAAAGTGTGTATTTTTAAATTCTGTCTACCTCCTTTTGCATCAACTAAGTTATAGATCAAAGGTCTTCATTTGATTATATTCTTCTTTTTACATACAGGGTTGTAGTTGCAAGACTTAGATAATGAATATTTATTCAATAAACGAACATCGGATGATTCATATTCTCCTACCTCGACTTTGCCATAAGTGTAAAACCACCTCTCTAATTCTAATTGACGAGACAAGAGGCGGCGTCAACGAGAGGCTAGAGATTTGGAGACATGCTCTTGAGTCTAAAGGTTTCAAGTTGAGTAGGACGAAGACGGAATACCTCGAGTGCAAATTTGGAGTTGAGCCGACGGAAGCGGGAGTTGAAGTGAGGCTTGACTCTCAAGTCATTCCCAAGAGAGGTAGTTTCAAGTACCTTGGATCGGTTATTCAGGGGATCGGGGAGATTGACGAGGATGTCACACACCGTATAGGGGTGGGGTGGATGAAGTGGAGGTTAGCGTCGGGAGTCTTGTGTGACAAGAAAGTGCCACCGTTACTAAAAGGTAAGTTTTATAGAGCAGTGGTTAGGCCTGCCATGTTATATGGAACTGAATGTTGGCCGGTAAAGAACTCACACATCCAGAAGATGAAAGTAGCAGAGATGAGGATGTTGAGGTGGATGTGCGGGCATACAAGGATGGATAAGATTAGGAATGAAGATATTCGAGAGAAGGTGGGTGTGGCCCCCATGGAGGACAAGATGCGGGAAGTAAGACTCAGATGGTTCGGGCACATTCAGAGGAGGAGCACTGATGCACCGGTGAGGAGGTGTGAGCGACTGACTGTAGTGGGCATGCGGAGAGGTAGAGGAAGACCTAAGAAGTATTGGGGAGAGGTGATCAGACAGGGCATGGCGCGACTTAGGATTACTGAGGACATGACCCTTGATAGGGAATTATGGAGGTCGAGCATTAAGGTTGTAGGTTAGGGGAGAGTGTGAATATTTCTACAGCACAATAGAGTGAGACTATCCAGTTAGGAGTTAGATTAGGAATGTCATTGGTCGTCTATTGATGCAGGGCTTTACCTTCTAGTTGTACTATACCAGCCATCTATTTCGTATTTTGTATTTGGGTACTGGGTCGTCTACAACCTTCTAGTTGTCATTTGCGTACATATTATGACTGTAGTGGTACTATGTCATTTGCGTACATATTACTCTCCCCAGACCCCACTTGTGGGATTATACTGGGTCGTTGTTGTTGTTGTTGTTGTTGTTGTTATATGTATCTTTATTAGGATTACAGTTAACAGGAATTTCCTGGAAACGTTGATCAGATGAAATTGGAGATATCTTGTATATTTCAAGCTTCAACTCATGATGTTGATCCAATGTTAATGACTGTATTTGTTCTTGAACTAATATTTATGTAGAATATAGGCAATTTGCTGATTCAATAATCATATTTTTATTTCTAACAGGTTTGTGAGACGTGGCTTTTCCGAATGTTCCATCGATCATATACCAGAGCAAAGAAGGAAAAAGATCAATCTCGCCCGTAGATCAAAGTATTACATGAAAAAGCTGCTACCTGATAAGAGTGGTATACGTATTGATTGCACTTTAGCATAGGAATTGAAGGTTTTTCTTCTGCCAGTGTACAAGCTCTGCAACAAAGCTCATATTTAGTGGAGTAAGTGGATAATCCTTACGTCCAATACAGTCTAGTAGTATTATAGAAGTCTCACACAAAAAGAGTAGGCTCATTTCTCACCGTCCTCTTCTCCGCTCCTACTACTGTGATCAATTTTGATCTAAATGTATGGTAGTTATTGTATAGGTCCAAATTTGGTCGACCACGACTACTGTCAAATATGACAAAAGATGAGGTCTTCACAGCATGACGTCCTTGTATAGGTCCAAATTTGGACGACCACGACCATTGACGAATACGATAAACGACGAGATCTTCGTAGCTCGACGTCCTGTGGAGGACGACAGAGAAGCAAACAAAGACTGCATGACTTTTACAGTAGTGTAGGCCCAACAGGGGGCACTAGGAATATTCTTTCGAATATTCCCTATGGTATGTCTTCTAGGTTCAGAAGGGATTTGTCTCTTATATATAGCAGGAAAACAACCTTGTAAGAGGGATTTTTTTGCTTTTTTAGCTAAGAACGTAACACTTTTCTACATAAACGATTCGCATCCTTAATGTTCGATCACTCATCTGGGCAAGATCAAGAAATATTGTCCACTGTGTTCATCTTTTATATCCTTTGTTCTAGCGATTATTATACTTAGTTAAGATTTACCCCTTCATTTTCTTCAATTGATTTATTCAAAAAGGTTCCAATATTTTTTGAGTTAAACAATTTGGCGCCGTCTGTGGGAATTTCTATAGCTGAGATTTTAGTTTCGTCTAGATCCTTGAAAGGGATAATCACCTCTTCTTAGCCTCGCAAAGACCAACAATGACAGGAAAGGGGGAAGCAAGATTAAAAGCAATAATAGGCGTCACGAACAACCTTCTGGATTCCATCAACGAAGTCGGCAGGGAAGACATTGAAAACGCAACGCCAAGCGCTACACTTGAGGGAGATACCTCACCCTCCCCCCCCCTCGCACGAAAGCGTGACTGTCTCGCGCGAGAGGGAAACCTCAACATCCGCAGCAGGAGAAGCACCACCGGCTGTGAAAAGGCTATTAGAAGAGTGGTTGACAAACACCTTGAGCAACATACTCGACAAACCCGTTCAAAGGGATATCGGAGGCACAATACACGCAGAAACCGCAACTGTCGCCAATGAGCTGGAAACTCCACGCACAGGTAACACTTATACTGTCATTGATACAGATAACGATGCACTTGCAACCATCTTAAAAAAAATGGAAGAAATGGAAAACGAGAACAAAATGCTTCGTGATCAGATGAAGGAGCATCAGGAAAGGGTCGATAAAATACCGGGCGCTCCGAAGTTGCTGCCAAAATGTGACGTAGGCCGATTCGTCGAGCAACCATACAGTGAAGGGGTAGCTCTCCACTCTATTCCAAAAACCTTCAAAATGCCGTCATACTTGAAAATATATGATGGCACCACGGACCCGGAAGATCACATAATCCACTACGTCACGGCAGTAAAAGGCAACGATCTGTCAAAAGAACGGGTGTCATCGGTGCTGCTGAAAAAGTTCGGCGAAACCCTGACAGGGGGAGCGCTGACGTGGTATTCCTAACTACCGGTACGGTCAATATTAACGTTCGAAGAAATGGCAGATAAATTTGTCACCGCTCACGCAGGAGCGAAAAAGGCAGAAGCCAGGGTAAATGACATTCTTCGTCGTTAGGCAGACGACAGGCAAGGGACTTCGGGATTTCCTAGCCCGATTCAACAGGGTAAGAATGAGCCTACCAAACATATCAGAAGGGATGGCGGTAGCAGCCTTCCAAAATGGGTTATATAGAAACAGGTCGAAAGCAACCAAAAAGCTGCTAAGTAGACTCATGAAGTACCCTCCCACCACATGGGAAGAAATTCATAATGCCTATTGTGCCGAAGTAAGGGCAGACGAGGATGACCTAAATGGTCCGATCCAACGGCTAACATCGGTCCAAATCGAAACAAGGAGAGATCGCTGCAACGATGGTCGAAGGGATCAACTATCCCGTTTCAATCGAGAAAGGCACCAGCCCTATATCCGGCCACCCATCCCGCCTATTTCACGACATGCAAACGTCACGCCTCGACACACTGCCACACCGAAACGAAAGAGGTATGCCTCCACTGTTATCTGCTCATAACTTTTGCGTTTCTCCTTCAAAAATAGTGTATGCACTAGAGAAGCTCGGCATAAAGGTGTAGTGGCTGCAAAAGATGAAGTCAGATCCGAACACCGGATATCGAACGTTCTGTGTGAATTCCACTAGGAAAGGGGACACAAGACCGAAGACTGCACAGGTCTGCGACTGGAAGTGGTAAGAATGTTAAACTAGGGACACTTGAAAGAACTGCTGAGCGATCGAGGATGAGTTAACTTCGCTCGTGGATGCGACCAACCTCAAGGAACCCCAAAACCACCTTCACCAGCTCGTACCATACAAATGATCATTAGCGGCGGCGATGATACGGTAATCAACCATGTGAAATTCACCACCACACACAAACTCAAGCTGACAGTCGCTCACGAACGATACGACGACCTCGAAGATAGTATCATCTTCGATAAGTCAGATACCAACGGTTTGTCTTTCCCTCACTATGATGCTTTGGTTATAACTTTACGTATTGCGGATACCGATGTAAAACGAATAATGGTGGATGACGGAAGCGGCGCGTGTATTATTCATCCACGAGTCCTCATACAGATGAGACTCGAGGATAAGATAGTATCACACTGCATAACACTAACGGGTTTTAATAATGCAGTAGAACAAACCTCTAGAGAGATAGTGCTACCCGTTCTGGTAGGAGGAGTCACTCTGGAAACGACATTTAACGTCATGAACCAGGAAACATCCTACAACGCTATCATAGGGCGTCCATGGATACACGCCATGTGAGCCGTCCCGTCAAGTTTCTATCAAGTAATCAAATTTCCTACCCCATGGGGAATATTCAACATCAGGGGCGAGCAACGCACCGCCCAAGAATGCTACCGAATCGCCCAAGATTGCGCACACACCAACAACTAAAGGAGGAAAGTGCGGAGGCATAGCAATCAGCCATATCGGGAACCAAACCCGACATACAAATAGAGGCCATCAAAGACCCGGATGTCGTAGAAGCCTGCAAGGCAACCGTAGAGGACCTCAACCCCGTTCAATTGGACAACACCAACAGCACGAAAAAAGCTTATATCGGACACAACCTCTCAGAACCAGATAAGTTTCATGAGTTCTTAACTAACAATGCCGATTTGTTTGCCTTTTCCCATTCAGATATGCTGGGAATCCCAAGGGACATCACCACACATAGCTGAATGTCGACCCTCTTTACTCGCCAGTACGGCAAATAAGAAGAAAGTTCAATGCCATAATCAACAAGGCAGTCAGCGAAAAAGTTGATAAGTTGCTCGCTAATGGTTCCGTCCGGGAATCAAAGTATCCTTAGTGGGTCGCCAATGTGGTCATGGTAAAAAAGAAGAACAGGAAGTGGCGGATGTGTGTCGACTTCACCAACCTGAACAAAGCATGCCCAAAAGATTCCTTTCCGTTACCACATATCGACCAGCTCATCGATGCAACGGCGGGGCACGAGCTATTAAGCTTCTTAGACGCCTATTCTGGTTACAACCAAATTCTAATGGCAGAAGAAGACCAAGAAAAGACCACTTTCATCACTCACCAAGGAATGTACTGCTACAGAGTCATGTCGTTCGGACTCAAGAACGTAGGGGCGACGTATCAAAGGTTAGTCACCAAGATGTTCAAAGAACAACTCGGAAAGACTATGGAGGTCTACATCGACGACATGCTAGTGAAGTCGAAAAGGGAGGAGGGTCACATTGGTCATCTAAAGGAAGCCTTCGAAATATTGAGGCGATACAGAATGAAACTGAATCCCGATAAATGCGCCTTTGGCGTAACCTCAGGAAAGTTCCTCATTTTTTTGGTATCGCAAAGGGGTATCGAGGTCAACCCGGATCAGATCAGGGCCATCGAAGGAATACCGGAGACATTAACCAGCAAAAAGCAGGTACAAAAATTGACAGGACGAATAGCCGCCCTGTCGAGGTACATCTCACGATCATCAGACAGATGCCATAAATTTTTCAATGTACTAAGGAAGGATTACGGGCTACGGTGGAATTCAAAATGCGTTGACGCCTTAAGAAAACTAAAAGCGTACTTGTCCTCGCCGCCACTACTCGTCAAGGCAGACCCAAGCGAATGCCTCCTGGTGTACCTAGCAGTCTTCGAAGTCGCAGTAAGTGCAGTTTTGGTCCGCGAAAACAGAGGTACGCAATCTCCAATTTATTATATTAGCAAAACCTTAATTGATGCCGAAACAAGGTACCCCCACCTTGAGAAACTAGCTCTAGCATTAGTCATAGCTTCACGAAAGCTTAGACCATATTTTCAATATCACCCCATAAAAGTGGTGACAACCTTCCCCCTCAGGGTCATCCTACACAAACCCGAACTATCGGGTAGGTTGGCCAAATGGGCCATAGAATTAAGCGAGCACAGCATAACATACCAACCGCGAACTTCTATAAAGTCGCAAGTGCTCGCCGATTTCGTCGTCGATTTCAACGCGGAAGTATTGCCTGAAGTAGAGCAGGAGGCACTCCGCGCTTCCGCACATTCCGACCTTTGGGTCCTCTACACCGACGATGCATCTAATGCATCGGGATCGAGCCTGGGACTCGTCCTCGAAGTCTCTACGGGCGAAGTAATTCGCCAGTCCATACGGTGCCCCGAAATTGACTAACAACAAGGCCGAGTATGAAGCTGTGATTGCAAGATTGAAATTAGCCCTCAAATATGGCGCTCGACGACTCGTCCTCCATTGCAACTCTCAACTCGTGGTGAACCAAGTCACTGGGACTTTCCAAATCAAAGAACAGAGACTACAAAAGTACCAGTCAGAAATTCACAAACTGCTACCAGAATTCGACGAATGCCGCCAGGGCGCAGAATATTGAAGCAGACGGTCTCGCCAAGCTAGCGGCAGCCACTGGAAATATAAACAAGGAAAACGTGGTCACCCTTCTCCATTCCTCAATAGACCAGGTCGAGGTACATTATATAAACCTAACTTGGGACTGGCGCAACCGTATCGTAACATATTTGCAGGAAGGAACGCTCCCACAAGATAAGAAAGAAGCCAAAAAGCTCCGAATACATGCGGCCAGATACAGCCTCGTAAACTTTGATCTCTACAAAAAGACGTTCGGCGCCCTCCTAGCCAAGTGTCTTGGGCCAAATCAAACAAGGCAGGTACTAGAAGTACACGAGGGGCACTGCGGTGCCCATACGGGAAATCATGCCCTCGTCAGATGCCTCATCCACGCAGGATACTACTAGCCCACCATGAAAAAAGAAACCGCAAATTACGTTAGGAAATGTGAACAGTGCCAAAAATACGCCCCTATGATACACCAAGCAGGAGAACTCCTGCATTCCGTCACTTCGCCATGGCCATTCATAAAGTAGGGGATGGATATTGTCGGACCCCTCCCGGCAAGACGAGGTAAGGTACGCTTCCTTTTGGTTTTAAATGACTATTTTTCTAAATGGGTGGAAGCAGGTGCATACATTCAAATACGT